AAAGCTACTTCACATGTGCTCTCCTTCCTTAAAAGTACACTGAATGGAGTTACTTCTAAGTGTCAGATTTGTACTTCTCATTGCCCTTTTGAGACATTTGGAAAAGACATAGCTGAGAAAGAGGAAATTAATAGATCAGGAAATAATCTATAACATATAAAAATGCAGGCAATGTAGTATTTCTTTTTGTTGCTGCTGTCATTGGACTGAGTGTAGGAAAGCAGAATTCATCAAACTTTCTAAACATAATGCAGAGTCCTCCAAATCAGAAAGTAACATTCAATTTGGTTTATTTGCATGAAACTAGTATCTATGGCTGTTTTCCCCCCACCCCTCCTCTTTTTAAGTGATGGATGTTTGAAGCTGAGGTCCACATACCTCAACCAACTTTAACAACCCCAGTTTTGTTCCAGAAGAAAAGAAATGGCTTGCGATAGCCTCAGGTCCACTAGACCCACTGATGACTTCTTTCCCTTGTTTCTTCCATCTCTGTAGATCAGCTCTAAACCAAAAACTATGAGATTTGGTATGAGCAATGCTGTACCCATGCTAACAGGCCCTGCTGAAAGGAAGGGTATAACAGCTCAGACTTCAACTACCCACTTTCAGGCAAAGACAGTCTGAGTTCTCATTTGCCTCACTTAACCAGATACGTTGGTGCAAAGTTTCAGACACTTCTTCAGGGCGCTTTCGCTCAGAAAGCTCAGATCAGTCCACCAGGCAACAGAAGCAATGTCATGGGCAGAGATGACCAGTAGTACATAAACAACAGGCACTGCATTACAAACAATCCTCGTAATTAATGGGTAAAGTAGATTTTCATTAGTTTGTTCAGTGAAGAAACACATTACAGACATACAAGTGCTTTCTAAGAAAGAGTAAGACTGAGAAATATCATTGACAGTACTCTATCAATCAGTAGTACAGGAATGTTCACATACAAGGCCAGCCCCATACACTGCATAAATCATTTTAGGATTGAGCTCGTGTTGAGTCATATCATCAATAACTGTGCCATACTGTTTTCGTTTTTGTCACCTAAAGACAGATCGACAGTAGCTGAGAGAAGCAGTGTGAACCACTGCTTAAAATTCTCCCACCAAAATGAGGGAGAGTCAATGTGATTTCCATGCCTTCGCTGGAATTCATTCCCTCTCTGGATACTGCCAAACCAACCCAGCCAGGGATGACTCATCCACAGGGCCTCATGAAGTACTGCTGAAAGGCTCGGGTTTTGCGTTTGGAATGCACTGGATTACACCGAAAGTTTGTGATGCTCCAGCGTGGGGGAAGAGGACATCCCTGACTCTTCCCTACAAGGACATTCCCAGTCTGCACTTTGCAGCGTTAACTGCATGCTCAATTTATTCCTCGCTACCTAAGGAAAGCATTAAGCATTCATTCCTTTGGCAAATGATATCACCCTTCCATTTTGATTTTGCTTCTCAGACAGAATTTTTTTGCTTGCATAGGAAAACAAATGAAGAAATTGCCCAATCCCTCACTCTTCCTTGTTTTCCCACTTCTAACCTTGTGGTAAAGAGATGTATGATGAGCTGTAGAGGAAAAAATCTGTGGAGTCCCAGCTAAAATACTGTCAGCACATCACTGGGTAAAGTAGAAATATAAAAACCCCAAAGAAGGGCAAAAATAAAACAAGTAGAAGAAAGAAATAGTCCACAGGAGGAGAGAGTAGAAGCCAGTAGGACTGTTTTGGTTCGAAAGGATTTGATAGACCACATGGCAGTTGACATGAATTAAAGAGTAAACAAGTCCACTTGGGTGATAGACATTTTTCCCATAACGCATATTAACTAAAATTGAACCCAGTATTTGTAGCACAACATATTTTAGAGCTATGAAATTTACTACCGCCGACACTGTATTAATGAGCCAACAACATCATATGACTTTAAATTGGGCAAGAATTTCATATCAGTAAGATCATTAGTGACAACAGCTAAGACAAACATTTACAGAATACATCACCCCTCATATCTGAGGACTGAAATCAAACATTTTGCTGATTGGAGTTAGGAAAAAAACATTATAGTGAGTAGATTTTCGCATCATTATCTGCCATGGCTGATTGATAAACAACTTTAGTTGAAGCCGCTGGGTTCTGGCAACTTTCAGCAAAGGCACTGGGAAACCCTGTTGTTCTGTTTATGACAATTTCAACGATCCTACGTAAGGTTACAAAAAGTCATAGAAAGAGGTAAAGAAGACTAAGAAATTCCTTGGTAATTATCTCACTTAAATTTGTAAAAGATACCAGGAAAGACAGAAAAACATTACAGTTCCTAGCTTCAAGATGTGCACCAAATGTGCACAAGAGGTATCTGAAGTTCTGCGTGCTGAAGTTCAGCCAGCTCTTTAGCTGTCCAGAGGTGCTTCACATATCTCTTTCTATTGATGTTACCAGAACTCCTGAGGTGGAATTTCTTAGAAGATCCTCAAAAACAGCTTCATAAACCTATTTATGATTTGGCTTCTCAGAAGTGACTTGCATGAGTTCCTCGGCAGTCACATCTGAAATGAGTTTCTACTTGCTTGTATCTCGCTCTGTGAGCCCAAAAATTGAAAGGCAAAAGGTAGATTAGTCAGTACCATACAATATTTATTAAGACCACGTTTTTTATAGAAAGTCCTTGGAAAGGAAACCAGAGGTCTATTGGAAAAACACACTCTAAGTACTGTTTGTCATATCTGGGCAACCTAGCTGTAATAATAAGGTGTGTGTCCATCTCTAGCTGCTGGGCTGGACTGTTACAAGCTCATGTATTGCAGAAGACAAATTGGGCCTGTCTCACAGAAGACCTAGAGAAATGACTGAATCGGGACTGAATAAGGGAATGTTTTGCTTGCAAAATGGTAATATAAATGATATGGGGCTGACTAATAATACAGTTGGTTTCCACTAACTAACAGAATAATATGATGATCTACAGAACTGAATTCCAGACTCTGAGCTAAGATAATCTTTTTTTTCTTATTTTCCATTTGCGTCAGCTAGAACAAATCCTGTGCTCAAGAGACCAAGTCTCGTGCTTTTTGTTTCCCCATTTAATCTCATGTGGGTATCCCCATCCAATCTGAGATGCAGAAGATACTCCACATATCAGAAGCCCAACAATGGTGGTTCAAACATGGTTCCAACTCATAATGGACTTATAATGCAAATTATCTGTGGACAGTTTGACCAAGAAAATAAATATTTCTCATGGACAGAAGAACTGATTTCATTTAACTGAAAGATGATGAATCCATCCTGCATGTGAAAGCACACTACCACATGTGCCTCTTGATTCACAAGTTTTAAGGTTCCAGTTCTAAAAAGGATGACATCCAACTTAATGGGAGAATCAGACAGAAGTTCAGCCAGGCTAAACCTCTGGCCACCACTTTGTCCTATGTGTGTTTTTCTAACGGAGAGCATAGCCTGTCTCGATGCTTTCAATTTAGTGAGTCATACTGCCCCTGTTAAAGTGAACCTATTTTTAAAACTAGATAGAATTTTTAATTAATGGAGTACATTGCTATGTCTGTAGTCAATCTTCCCTTCATGTAATCAGAAGGGCTACCCTGAATCTGGTTATTATCTTGCAAAATCAATCTAGTTTAAGGATTATTCTTCCTGAAAATGCAATGGGCAATCTCTTCTCTTGAATATTTTGTTTAAAATATCAAGCTGCATGTACATGCTAGAAGAATTTGAACATGGGATCTGAGCTAAGATCTTAAGCAGTCTGAAAGAACACATCAGTCTGCCGAATATGATATCCAGAAAAATACAAGTTCTCATTTCAAAGGTAACATACACACACACACACATACACATATATATGTATATAAATCTGTATGGCGTATTTGCTGTGCAGGCCTAGACTCCTCGGGAAGTTGTTTTTCAGTATAGCAAATTAGAAAAACATGCCCAGAATTAAAGGTTACTTAATCGGGTTGAAGCAGTAACTTCAATCCCAGCAACTCCCTCCCACTATGTTACATCTGATAATGTACCCAAGTCCAAACATAAACTTAGTTCAAAAAGATGTTTGGTCCTTGAATGTAAAATGACACTTAGCTTACACAATTAGCCAGGTAATACATATCCTTTCAAGAGAAGTCATTTTTACCGCAGAATAATCTGCATTTTACTAATCTCTGATTGTTAAGTTTTACTTGCAGAAACTTTTCCATATGGCTTTTTGAATACCACTGTCCTGCATTTAATTACCATAGAAGGATATTAATGCAGAGGTTGGAAATTTGGCCCAAGCCCTGTTCCACAGTTTGGACAGTTGAATGGAGATAGAGCCAGTGAGCAGAACATTTCGGTCAATACAAGACTGTGCCATTTCATACACAAAAGCAGTGGCAAAAGAGGATTAAATAGACCTATAGAAGTCAAACACCCAGCTATTCTTGAATTGTCTATAAACTTCTAAAATAGCATGGTCATAAAGTAGCATTGAGTGACGTGAAACACTGGTTTGCTAACCTAAAGGCCAGTCAAACAGGAACTGGTAGAGTAGTCCTTGTAATCGAGACCATTTTTATCAAGCTGTAAGATGCATGCCCCAAAATGCAAAGTGTACTTCCCAATTTTAAAGGCAAAACATGATATTGAGCAGAACCAAGGCAAGAGTAGGCAGCTTGGAGTGCAGAGGATGCGAGGAAGCTAATGTGGGTGGGAAAGCACATGTTGCTGCCTGGATGAGGAAGTGGTACACCACAGTTACTTCGTAAGTGCAAGGGCTTTATAAACCAAATCTCTTGGGGACTGTTCTAAATAGACAAAGAATGACACGCAGCCCTGACAGGCTTTCCGTATTGTTTGAGGAGGTTGGTTGCCTTCTAAAAACACTGGACTGCCACTTGTACTTTTTCAAAAAATGCCTGATTTTAACCTCAATCTCTTCATATAAACAGTGGGCAGATGCACTGTGTAGTAAACTCTGTTTTGTCTAGCATGAAATTAGCGGCTTTCTCAGTCTTACCTGACAATGGAAAACATATTCTGGTGTGGTTTTCTTGAACTTCATGTTCCATACCAAGGCTACCCCATCAGGCTCATGTGGAGCATCTTCATTATTGTTATAAGATGCAACCATCAACTCGGGGTACTAGAAAGAAAAAAGCAAATGAAATCAGATGCATAATGAAGAACCTATGCAAAATCAGACGAGACAGAAATAATCCCACACTACATGTGCAATATCTGATTCTAATTATATTACACACTAAGTCCAATCACAGTATTCAGCTTCATTTCGGTTTTATATTTCTCTCATCCCTGACATTCCTGAAGCCCCTGCTCCTTGCTCTCTATCAGTTATTCTCAGATACCACAAAGGCTGTGCTTTTTTCTACAGGTAATTATTGGAAAAGACAACTAGCAGGATATTCATAAAGATTTATAAAGGAAATGCAAAGCAAGGAAGAGGAAAAATGTGAAAGCTTGAGTAATTCGAATGTATTTACTTAACCATTTCTTCAGGGACAAACTATTGCATTAATTGCTTTTGATAATAAAAACACTGTGACCATAGCATTGACTTGCTTTTATTCTGAAATTCACAGTTTTTTTCAGCATCCCCGAAAACTATTCATTCTTATTTTATTATGCACTCTTTCTATTCACTTCTGCGTAGAATCAACTTCAAATCTCTTCTTGATGGTTCAAATAGCAAACAAAACTTTTTCTTCACAGAAGCTCAGTTTTGCAAGATGCTGAGGTCATCTTGTAAAGCACAGGGTGACCTTGAATTCCATTGACTCAGTAATACTGATGCAAAGAGCACTCTAAAATCAGGTCAATATTTTCTTGTACACACATTATCCGCTGGTCTATAGAAGTAGGTATGCAACACACACATATGTATTTGCTCTGTTTCTATATATACACATATAAACACACACACTCAATATCATATATGAAAAATCAGGTTTTCATAGTCTGTTGATGACATTGCATCATTTCAAAACACCATAGAAGTAACGATTTTCCCACAAAATATCGATTACTTTCTGCCTACATAGTAGCACCCAGTTCTCCACTCTCACATGTTTGACACTAGGCACCTCTGGTAGCCTCTGTCCTTCCCTCTAAATAGTCAAAGTAAGGCAATGGACCTTATGGCATGTCCAGAGAAAAGCATGTGGCTTCTGCAGACCAGGGAGCTGGCAGCCCAAGCTCCACAGGACCCACACGCTCCTCTTGTAAACTATGAATGCTTTCCCTCAAAATTTCTCAATGATCTCCGCAAATTATTGTCACTTTTTGCCTTTCCCAGGTAAATTCCTGCCAAACCATTCACCACTTCATAGGGGAACAGCACAGCTGGTAGATGTAAAGGAAGTGGGACAAAGAAATTGCAAGTAGTGCTATTGGGAACTGTGAATTTGGTCCACACCAGGCATTTTATAAATAATAAAAAATCCCACCACCCTTTCTATCATTATCATTGGGGTTTGAACCTCTCTGCTCTCAAAATCCATTTGGAAGAAATAATGTGCACAGCTATAACTTTTGCCACCAGCAGCTGTTCTTTCCCCGTGGATAATAATATCATGGAGCTGATGATTTTTCTATTCAAGCTCATCGTTCCAAAGGAGCCTGGACCCATGTGTGGGAGAACCAGCAACAACACGTGGCCACCACAGCTGCCTCTTCCCCATTTTGGGACAGGTCTATCTGGGTTGTATGTACATCCCAGCAGACCCTGGCTGCTGGCACAGCTTGTAAGGGTAATTTAGCACCCAAATCCCTTGCATGAGATTTAGAGCTTGCAGCAGACAAATCACCTCTTCTCCCTCCTCAAGAACTGAGGGAGACCTGAGGGTGGTTTAATCCCACATCTGAAACACCACCACCCTGGACAGTGTTGTGCCAGCCTGCCCTTCACAGCTCTCATCCATCTCACCCCCTTCTTCTCTCTCTCTCTTCCACAACAGAGATTACAACCACTTCTGAACAGTGAGCTCAGCTTCTCCTTCGAACCTTTTCGCCCCACGTTGGCCTAGGTCCAAGTCAACAGCATGTGCAGTAGGCTCTTGCCAGTGCGTCTTGTTTTGGCTGAACAGGTTAGGTACCATTCACACCAGCAGCTGAGCCCACACTGGTGAAGGGACAGGTACCCTGCCAGGCAGAAGTGACAAGCCCATCCACTGGCACGGCTGCAGCCAGCTAGGGCCTGCGATCAGGTCTGAAGCACCAGTTTAGAGGCTCCTTGGGGCTGGTTCATGCTCCTGGAAAGTTTAGGAGCATGTTCTGGTTGGCAGCATGTCTGACCATAAACAAACACTGACTCAAATCTTGCTGGTCTGTATGCAAGTTTTGCAATAATAGTTTATGCATCTGACTGGAAATACAGTTTCAAGTTTACACAGGCGCTGGGGTCATAGTGAGCTGGGCAACACCATTTTGAAGTTTTTTGACTCTTAAAAAAACAGAGCTAAGTGCAGCATCCTAAATCCACTCATTGCTTACTCAATGTACTTGCATTTACAGAATTTCAGTCCTCACCAGGTGCCCATCTGTCCTGTGACTGCAACTGAAAACGACGTGGAAATGGTGCTGTGGGAAACAGCATTCAAAGCTGCTGCTTGAGAGTCAAGAGAGACACAGCAGTATGCCCGAGACTGTGGTTTTCTTGACTTTAGATGAGCTAAGCTGCCTCCTCATGGACAAAGCAAGGTGATCCCACTCCCTCTCTATGTTTACACTCAGTCTGTTGGGCCTTTCCCTTAGATCCTTAATGAAGCATCTAAGCTGTTTTCCCTTTGCTCTGCAGAAGAATCAAGGGGCTAGTGGGTTAGCTTTAATGGTATGAATGATCCCACATGTTTGGGACCATATTTTACATGTGACTGGGAAGAGAATAACTTGGTTAATCAATGCATCAAGGTCCTTTGCTTGATTAAACTCCTATTTGCCTCCAGGCTGTTTTGCAGCAAGTTTTATCACAGAAAATTAAGCAATGTGTTCTGCAGTTCCCACGAGTATTCAAGTTATCCTTTGGCATACTGGACACTGCCACTGAGAAGCAGAGCTAGCAGTGAGGTGAAATACGTCCATCCAGCTCCCGCTCCTGCTGCATGATACACCCCAAAGCAGGCAAGGGAGGAGAGAAGTCCCTCCTCCCAAGCTGGTGCAGGGTGGCACGCAGATGCTCCCCGGCATGGAGAAGACCCCTGCCATGGAGAACCCCCCACCGGGGTGCCAGGGAGCCGAGCGTGAAGAGTTAACGGCAGGGAAGGCAGGAGGGGCCACCCTGGAACAAAGAGGTGGGAAGCAGAACATGCCTTCGAGCCCCAGGGGCTGAGCAATTACATTTGGCAGTGCTCTTCTGAGGCGGCTTTTTTTCTTGCTGCCCTGGGAATACAGTAAGAGCTGCCTGTTATGAAAATATCAGATAAGAATTCCATGTAATTTCCAGCCCCTGAACAAGTGAACAACCTAAGATAAGTGTTTCCTCAGGCTTATATTTGATTTCTGTGGAAATCCATATGTGCTTGAAGGCCACCCACGTCACACCAGTGCATACCTGTTGTTAAGCTGATATTTTGTATGAAAGCAAAGGGATAAATCCTTCATTTCACACGCGGGTGCCAGCTGGGTATTTAAAGCAGCACCTCTGCAGCTGGCAAGTGAACAACCTAAGATAAGTGTTTCCTCAGGCTTATATTTGATTTCTGTGGAAATCCATATGTGCTTGAAGGCCACCCACGTCACACCAGTGCATACCTGTTGTTAAGCTGATATTTTGTATGAAAGCAAAGGGATAAATCCTTCATTTCACACGCGGGTGCCAGCTGGGTATTTAAAGCAGCACCTCTGCAGCTGGCTGTTGTGCACCGCAGCCGGGCTAATATTAATAACAAGAGAAACAAGGCCAAATATCCCAGACCGACACGGAGTTTCCCAGAGTTGGGTGCCGGACGCTGCCTGCCACATGCTCCACACAGCCAGCTCCCACCTCACCTGAGAAGCACCTGGAGGGGTGGAGGCAGCCCTGCTGCCATTGCAAGGGGAAGGGGAGCAGGGGGGCCATAACCGGACTGGGAGATGCTCTCGACGAACCCCTGCCTCCCACCATGGGAAGGGGAAAAGGAGGAAAAGGGAGAGAGACTTAAAACCTGAATATTAAAACAGCTTTACTAATAACACTAATAATACTGCTAATATTAATAACAAGAGAAACAAGGCCAAATATCCCAGACCGACACGGAGTTTCCCAGAGTTGGGTGCCGGACGCTGGCGTCCCACCAGCAGCTGCCAGGCAGCACCGGGAAGTCCCGGACTGGACTCAGAAGTGGGCAGGAACTGGGCTCAGGAATGCACGGATCGGGATCTGGATCAGGATCACAGGCTGGACAACGAGCAGGGTCCTCTTCAGCAGGCGGCCATGGATGAAGAGAGTGAGACCCTCGTGACCCCCCAGCTTTAAGCTGAGCACGGCGTGCATGGTGTGGAATAGCGCCTTGGTCAGTGTCGGTCACCTGTCCTGTCCTCCCCTCCCTGCGAGCACAACCCTTCATGACTCCTCACTGGTGGGACCTAAGAGGTCTGTCAGTGACCTTGGCTGCTACGGTAATAATTATAAACAGGGGCCTTTTTCTGCCTTCCGTTCCTCCAGTTAGCTCAGTAAAACTATAAACTTGCAGTGTCATCAGCTTTGGAGCGGACACTGTCTGTAAAATACACAGCCACCTTCAGAAAAATGCAGTTATTTAGAAGAACTTAGCTGTAAGAAAAAATCACTAAAAGAGAATTGGTTCTGTTCTAACCAGAACCACAACTGTTTGTTAACCTATAGTTTTAATTTGACATCCTGGTTTTGAAGACCAAGTAACATATACAAAAAAAATGACAGCTTCATTATTGCCCACTACCCTTCCATACAGAGAAACATGCATTCACTCATTCAGGGCCCTGCTGTTAGCTAAAAAATAACATCACAGTCTGCAGAACAAAGGGCAAACTGAGGCTGGCTGTATTTTTTTTGGAAGAAGTTGGAAGGGATATGGAAACATATCTCCTGGCTTCACATCTTACCTGAAGAGACCAATCCATACAGGTGACAACACGATGCTTTGACCAGTGCTCATCGTAAAACTGACGGTTAAAGGAAAGGTTGGCTCCTGCTTGAACATCTCTGTGAATTCAAACAAAGTGACACTTTTTGAAGAACCAGCATTCAAATGCTGTGAAAAGCAATGCAGAAGTTTCTGACTACTGCTTCTCAAGTCTCTGCCCAGCCTGAGGAAGTCTGCCACCTTGATTTAATTGCTCTCATTGCCTTGCTGAGAGTAACAAACCTGCACCAAGGAACAGATTTTATGTATGTTTCACAAAACTACATTTCTTAACTTCCCACTGCCTTCATGACTCTTCTGGGTCACCCTGGGCCACCTCTGTCACCTTTGTCTCTCAGGATCAAAACTAGCCCCGGGGTCCAGCTCCCCCTTTCCTGGATCTTCATCTCCAAGCTATAACCAAAGCTCTGTTATTTTCGATTCCTGAAATCTTAAAGTTACAGCACCTCCTCCCAGCATCGGAGACGGCGGATGCCTTCTGGCACAATTAGGATGGACTGAAGCGCAGTGCTGGTCCAACGCTGCCACACTGCTACTTTTAGCTGGTCACAGGGATGATGCTCTATAGTAGCTTCCAGTAAGTAACTTCAGTGCTACACAGCTACTGATTTGCCATGAGGCTTCAACGGATACACAGCTGTTGAGATCTAAATACTTCCCCTCATACTAACAAGTTTTGCTTCTTCTACTCCCCTATCAATTGCTGAATACACAACCTGTCAGCTCTCGTTTTAGGCTTTTAGAGTCCAAACGCTTTGGGAGATCATCGTTTTCATCCACACAATGCATAGCACAGTGGGATCCATTACAGACCTGAGGCAGTAGCAGAATATAAACAACAGCAATTTGAATTTGTAAAATATGATACAAACACACTGGAACATACACATGCATGTCTATATAGGCAAGTTCAATTCATGAATTCAATTATGAATGTTTTTCTTCAGAATTTGAAATTTCATCCCCAAAAAAACCAAAAAATTAAACCAACTGCATAATTCATCAAAGAAAAAAGTCCAGAGCAATAAAGCATGAAGCTATTTTACAAAATAATTTAGGCTAACAAAGTAACCCAGGTCTTCACGGAGAGGTTTTAAACTTTTTGTAACTGTAAAAATGTTTAGTTTAGTTTTTAAATTAAGGCTTCCTGTCATTGGAATTATTTTTATAAAGGTTATTTTACAAAAGCAAACAAACCCCAAACTGACCCATCCTTCTCTTCTACATCTCTGCCACTGTAGTCAAAGAAGATGTCTGAATCTTCAGCCAAAGCTCGCTCAATTACACGTATTGTCCGGTCAAAAAATATCAGGAATTCCTCTGAATGGAGAACTTGCTGTTTTTCTTCTTCTGTCAGTTCTCTAGGAGGAGCTTGGAAAATGAAAAAATGTAGTTAAGAGTATGACATTTCGCCCCTTTCCCAATGAATTAACATCTTCAGTGGGCTTCTTTTGACATGAAAGCTTGCCGTAGCAATGTCAGGACAGAAATCCAAGCTTTACTCTTAAAATCATGACTAAGAACTTCTTAGTATATCTAAACATACTCCTGTATATTCCCAGAATGCAGCATTTACATTGAAAAGATCCTATATCTTATATATTTATTATTCTGAAATGGAAAATACTTAAACCCCCCAAATTAAATAAACTCAGTGTTCCTATTTCAGGAAATAGCTGTGACTGACGTTTAGGCAATGCCTAACTCAAAAAACCAGAACACTTATGTAACAGGGGACCTGTCAGAGGAGCCAAAGAGAAAATAATCTTCTTAACTTGTACTACAGTTCTTTGTGTTAAAAGGGCTCACATAGTCTCCCCTTTCGCTTCTTCCCACTTCTCCTTGGTGTCACTGATAAATTCTATCCCCGCTTTAGAGCTTTTGTGAAGCAATGAAGTAAATAACCAAAGAAATCCTCTGAGGCAGCAAGATCAAAAGCAACTGACCAAACACCAGTTTCTTTAAGGCAGTTTTGTTCCTTGCAGAGGAATCCTAAGAGCCAGAGCAACAAATGCCACTGAGCTGTGGCCAAAGATGTCCTGGGAGGGGGTAAGAGTCGTCTTGGGCACGGGTCAGGATAGCCTGGCCCCCACAAGATGAAGTTGCTCCTTTACACGTAGGCAGAGATGCTAAACCCTTACTTCCAAACCAATATTTCCAGTATGGCCCTTCATTTGAAAAATACTGTCTTTGCAGGATGCGCCAATGCTATGTCTCCATTATTTTAATGACTTGTTGGTAAATTCCAACTCAAATGTGAGCATCAGAGGGAAAGGAAATTGGGATGCTGCTACCACTATGATGCAAAATTCTGTTCTCAATTACCCTAACAGGGTCATATTGATATTGTGGCAATTTTGTATATCAGTTATGCTTTTGCTCACGTGTGCTATTAAACCATCATTTTAGTTATATTTCAGAATAACTTGTATTTCAAAAAATGCCATTAGTATCTTCACAATTACACCAGACCAACCCTGCAACTAGCTTCAATTCCCAGCATGAAAAGCTCTGTTGACATCACAGGAATTATGCTAACACAGAATTTTGTTCCAAATTTATAACTAGATAGACAAAGAGCATATCATAAACAGATTTATTGCAAAATTAGAGAGACTCGTACTTGAACTGTCCACCAAAGGTCTCTCTCATTGGCTTTATACTACAGATTTGAGGTGTTTACTTGTGAAAATGACCTTGCAGTCTCCCTAGGCTTTGGGTTAAAATGCCAGCACCTAAAAAAGGATAATTCAGCACAGTGCCTCAGAGAACAGCCGGTACACATCGAAGTTTAACTCCCAGCCCTGTCATACGTATCTTAATGTTTATTTAAACAATGGGCAACAGAGTTTAATGCTGCAGTTTGAAATTATATTCCAGTTGCTGTGCCATGCCACACAGCTTCTTTCAGCTGTCAGGGAGACGTAGCCCTCGCTCGCCGTCTGATTTTCCTGTGGTTCACATCGGATTTGTGAGCTCCGGTGCCCAAGCAGGAGCCCCCGCCAGCCCCAGGGGCAGGGATGGATTGAAAGGCGTGACAGCAGGCAGGAGTGGTGACAGGGTCAGCGTTACCGCAGCACTCAGCTCCCCCAGTTCTCAGGTGGTCTCAGACCACTGCCTGTGGTCAGGAGAGGCTGTTATCACCAAGCTTAGGTTTGCCTCAACCGGTCAAAGCGTTAGCTCTGAAAGACAAAATCTCTGTGCTACACCTGGGTTAAATATAGAGAGGGTAGGAAAAGCGCAGAAGGCGGAGGAGCAATTTGGCCCTCAGGAGACAAAGCAGCTAAGAAGTTAGAAACTTTAGCCTTTGATGATCTCCTATGGCCTTGGCTCTCTGCCTCCTACCGCTGGGTTAGTGGTCCCTGTGGAGCTCCACACATCCAAAGAATATCTGTGTCCCCCCGCACGGTCCCCCTGAGTAGCAGAGCAACAATTACTAAGGCAGGAGCACAATTTGCCTCTAAGTGCTTTAGACAGAAGCAATGCATGTGAAAAAAAAGAATGACTAGCAAAAGGTACAGGTTGACCTATTGCAGCATCCGCTGCTGAATAGCAATTGGCACTAAGGGAACTCATCTGGCAAGGAAGCCTGTAATGAGGCAATGTCCCACTGTCACCACTAAAGCATTGCTTTCCGAGAATCAAAGACAACAAGCATGACCATGCAGCAAAACGGCATGAAAGGGGAGAAAATAACTGCAAAGGCAACTGGAAAACTCATTTTAAACTGCTCCAAATGGTAAAAATTATTTGCTAAATCAAATCCTCTCTACAGCCTGGAAATATAAATTTATTACTCGGCCATTTGCCGACTATAACTGGCAAAAAAAATACAACCAAAAATCAATAGCAAGGGAAAAGGAAAAAAAAAAAACAGCTTGGGAGCTGTGGGGTGTTCACAAGCAAAGGAGACACACATGATTGCAGTTCTACCTCAGCAAAATCTCCCTTGCAGTTAGCAATGATCTGTGGGAGGCCAGCAGTCTATTAAACCCTCTTCGGCATCAGAAACACCTTGGCTAAAGTTTGTAGGGCATAAATCAGCTTACCTCATTCATCTGACTGACACACCAGATGCCCCCTGGCGATATGAAGCTTCATATTTTAACCTTATTTTCATCTTTCATTCAGCTGCCTCTGAAGTTTTATTTGAGGCAATCTCTTCTTACAAGAATGTTAACATCATTACTTTTTCCAGTGTAAAACATTGCTGCAGCTACTGCAAATACACGAAGTGCAAGCAAAAAAACCAAAACAGACAGGCTTGTTCTTTCAAATATGAAGATTTTCTAACCATTTATCTTTCAGAGCCACATCCATTTTCCCCTTGCTCCTTCTCCCTGTCTGTCCATTACCTCGAATAAAATAAAAAGAATCTATGTAATTTTCTGCAATTTTTCTTCCTATCTGGGAGCTTACAGTTACTTTGATCTCAGCTTTCAGGAGACACAAGGCTCTCTTGAAGGAAAACTCTGAGAAACATAAGTAGCTGATCAAAGTATTTTTTGTTTTGTTTTGTCACAGAGACCTATGTGATGTGACAATATCTTCAGAAATTCCCTGTAAGAGTACAGCATTTGCCTTCAAGTATCTGCTGTCCCTGGCGCAGAAACCAAACAAACCACATCTATCTAACCTTCCGTGTCTAACAAAGCCTAGTGCGATGCTTAGCTTACCAGTGCTAAAAGTTACGTGCTTATTGCCTGGAGTGCAATGAAAGCTCCTGCAAAGGAAGACCCATACTTTGCTCTTGTTTCTGTACCACAGCTTCATAATAAACTATTGTGCCAGTGCTCTGCTTCCCACCTGGAGGAGCCGAACCCATCTTTGGCCCCGTGCAGCTCACAGCAGGAGCACCCATGGTGCTGCCACCAAGCTCTGCCTAACAGGGCCACCGGGCATCCCCTCTGCCCACAGACCCACGGAAACATCAATGGGATCGCGCACCCGCAATAGCAGAGTGCTGTCTGGGTGACTCTGGGCTTCTGAGGTTAACAGCATGTATCAAAGACGCCCTGTACTCATGTTAATGTATAATACTATACAAACTACAATGGAATTTGCATTTAAAATGACAGCACCGTGCAGTTATATATGCACAGAGGACATCACAGGGGAAGAAAATGTGAGGTATATCCGTAATGAAAGACATAGTTCACTTGCGCGTGAGCAAAAAGGTCTAGAATGTGTAACAAAAATTGAACCTGACATGAAAGCAACAGATTTATTCAACACTTACTTCTGAAAAATAAGAGCAGTTTTTTAATTTCATATGTGATTTAACATGATCCCCACAAATACCATATTTCACATCACACCCTTTGTCCGCAAATTTCTTCGGACAAAACAAAACAAATTATGTGAAAAGAATTCCTTAGAAATTTTGGAACTAAGATCAAAAATGCTGCAGACTTGTTCTTATCTGGCAGAAGCAGGTTTGTAGTAAATATAATAAAAATAGTTGTGATAACAGTGCAGGATTAAATTCACAAATATTTAAAAGCCAGGAACTGAGTCTTCTCCCAAAGGAGGCAAAAAGATGTTTATTAAAAAAAAACAAAACAGAAAGAAGACCCATATTTAAATAAGTATAATAGAATACAAAAAGTATTCTCCTGAAACCTAAGAAATTGTAAAAACCTGACAAAAGAAATGAAGTCCCTTAAAGGCAAAAAAGAACAAAAGAACAGAAAAAGTGAATGAAAGAAAGGGAGAACTAAAAAAAAAGTAAAGCAGGAAGCAGCCTTGTTATGAGTCCAGAGATATAACGAGAGACAGAAGGAGATTAGTAAAACTCTTTTAAGAGCCATATTACTCCTTTCAGCGTGTATTTAAACCCATGTGCTGGCGACCGAGGATGGTAGAAATGTACAGCGTGAGAACTGCAAGGTGCTAAGGGGCTCTCGGCAGCTTTAAGTCCTTGTCTGCTGATAGCCTGCCATCCCTTTGTTCTTTCTTGTGCTTCTCACTTGCACACCAGGCTCAATATGTACCATAACCTGACTTAATATGGGTCATACCCTGGTTGTGTTGGGTTTAAAACGCAAGTCCCTGCATGGCACAATTGCTGCAGGTGTAAAGGGAGATTTCAAGGTGTGTGCAGGGAGTTTTCAGTTCTGGAGTAGCTGGGTGCAGAGCCTTAGATTCGAATGTGTGCCAGGCAGGGCTGCTGCCACTGATCGTGCTTCTCCAGGGGCCATGCTGAGCACCATCCCTGAGCGCAACTGAGCTGGATGGGTCAGCACACCCGGGCTCACCACGGTGTCAGCGGCAGCGAAACCGTGGTGCTACAGGCTGTTACAAACCTCAGAGATCACAGGGGCAAAGCCAGCAGCCTTGTCCTGCTTCTTCGATACTGATGCCTGAGGTTTCGAGAGCTAAACCATCTCCCCCACTGCAGCCTGCTGCGTGGACAACCCGAGCCGCATGCACAGGGCCAGGGCAAGAGCAGGGCACGGCAGGTCTTTGAAGCTGCAGATCCCGGCCTCCCTCATCGCAGCCTTTCATGCAAGTTTCTGTGGATATATCCACGGCTTCAGATAAACGCAGGTTGAGGCCCACTTTCAAGACCCAGCCCATCCTGCTGCTCGTGTGGTTTCCACTGATACAAAGAGGCACCTTAGGTGGAGCTCCGGAGCGCTCTGGTGGTGGGAAGCCCCAGCCCACTTGATGCCACAGTCTGGGACCGTCTCTTGTTTACGTGGTCAGAGAGGCTGGGAACAGGCAGAGGCCAGCCCAGTTCACCATCAGGTACCCCACACTTGGCTCTTCCAAGAACGATGGGGAGACCGTGAGACATAGGTGACAACAGGCAGCCCCGTAGAAGAAACACAAGGGGATCCCAAGGCTTTACATGCTTCAAACAGTCAACACTCCAGGGCTTCACCTCCCACTCCAGAAACGCTCTGGGGAGCTGAAGCTGCTCCTCTGCCCTGAGCACATGGCATTGAAACGCCGCATGAGGTGTTGTGCCAGACAGGCTGCTGGATTGCAGGTGCAGTGTGTGCCTTACGGTGATGCTGAGACAGGTCCAGAAATAGGGTCAGACCCTGCAAACAGCCGTGACTGCTGAATAATCCCCCCAAAGCCCACAGAGCAACTCTGGGGTGTGCAGGTGAAAGACAAGGAAATTAAGCATGCAATGAATGTCTGCAGAAATAAATAGGACTACCTATAAACACAGAGGGGAAAAAAAATTGCATTTCCTCTTAAAACACCATTTTAAAAATAGAGCACTCCTGTCCTGTTGGCTTGGGGAGAGGGAGACTGAACAGACTGGATCCAAGCTTTATTTTTCATCCTGACCTATTTCTGAGTTATATTCATGAAAAAATTGTCTGCCTTTCTCTCCCTGCACTTCTCTCTGCCATTGTTTTTTTTCTTACACTCCTATAACTCAAAAAAGGCCATGCTGATTTTTTTTGATCTGTTAAAAAATGTGCTCCCTGAGCTGAAACCAAATTTCAGCCCAGAGCAAATTTTCACAGCTGGGTTATAAATCCCTGAAAAACAGGATTCATAATGGAAGTGCTGACACAGCCTTAACTACTATATAGCAGTGTGAATGGCGCCACTATAATATCTATTAGAGATTCTTTAAAAAGTTTGCAAAATATTGTCTTGCCTTGCAGAGAAAAAGAAGCCAGAGTACTTAATGCCAACATAAACATGCTTTTAACCCATTATGTGCTAATTTGCAGAAAAGCTATTAATTCTGAGTAGGCACACAGAGTGCAGCACCAACAGGAAATGTTCTTCTAAACTTCTGTTTGACTTGTAACATGGTTTTAATCACTTCCATGAAACACAAACGATGGCTTCAAACTCTGAATATTGCTCAGAACATGAGAAGGGTGATTACAACAGAGAGGAAAACAGGATTTTGTTGGTGAAAGGGCTAAAGCCAACAGCGAGAGAATGATACCGAACGCTAAAAATGGGACTCCGTTCCCTGTCAATCTGGGGACGACTGCTTCATGCAATCCACAGCATTTAATGCCAGCCACCAGCACACCACTGTCTTATCCGTCACAACACATACTGCAGGTCAAGTTCGCTTTCTGTCAGGCAACGAGCAAGTTTTCTTCTCCCTTGAACCCAGTCAAGTGTTAGCACCTCACAAAGCCGGTTCTGCTAAAACAAGCCGTGCCTTGCTTTTACAGCCTGCAGTTTGTGTGTCTGAGACTAGTGCTAAACCAGCCCGGTTGATCTACTGTTTCTGGGGGTTCTGCTAGGCAGAGAAAGGGAGCACTGCCCCGAGACTAAAACACAATAAAGACATAAAAGGTGTTGGCAGTGGCACTCGATCAGCACAGTATATAAAAGGCTAATTTGAAAGCCCACAAAAAACCAAAATAAATCAGTTCAGAAATGTATTTAGATACTTTACTTCTTCATTTCATGCAGGACTTTGTGCTTTCTCTCCTGGTATAAGTGCTAGCATTATTTTACATGGAAATAAATGGAGGTGGGATCAGCTGTAAGCTGCATACTAGAGGGGCATTCAGCAACTCAGGACAGTGCATAAGTGCAGTGATATAATATTTTATGGCTTCCTGTTATCATCAGCAAAAGCGATACTGCATTAGGTCCAGTGAATGCTAGAGCCCATATGTCAGCTGACCTCACAGTTTTGGCAGGAAGGATAATTTTAGGGAAAAAGTAAGCTTTTCTGTGTTGCCATGTTTCTTGCCGATGTCTTCAGCTCTGCCTCTGCAGACTCTTGTGTGACTCCTGTTGCTGCTGTCACCGCTGCTGCTGCTGCTGCCCTCTTCCCACAGTAGCGGTGGCTGGGGGCAGTGGGAGAAGCAGAAGGATGAGGAGGGGGAGGAGTGAGCTCACCGCTCCGTGTTTCTACAAGGACCTAATGAGCAACTGACACCGCAGGATTTATGGCATGGGTGATTTTTAGGATGCTCTTAAGAGGGAAGAAAGATCAATTTACAATCAAAACAGCATGACTGGTACTACCACTCACTTCAGCTTGTGAGGATAGTGAATGTGGGCACTATACACCACACAGGTTTTTTGGACACTGATGTAAATCATAACAGGCTCCCCTGGATGAGAAAGCAGCATCCACCGCTGTATTCACAGTTAACGATTTCACAGGCTTCTCTGTAAAATGACTCCATGTTTTTCCCACAATGAAATTACCTTGTGAAAAGCAAAGCCAAGGTCACAGAACCATCCTGATAACGATCACTACAGCAAGAAGTGGCTTAGACCCCACCTGAGGAAGTAAGTTACCTTTCAAGAGGGCAAACAGCATTGTGAACAGTCCTGGCGACGCAGAGCTAAGAAATGCTGGAGAAGAAACTCATTTCCTCTCACAATAGAGCTGCAGGTATTTCAGCTGCAGGGGTGAGCACTGACTGCTCAAAGTGACACACCAGAATAGCTAATACTCTAGTAAATTCCCAGATCAGGAAGACCAAATTTCACACCCCTCTTCTAATTGTGAAAGCTAGAATGGGCCCAAGAGAAGCAAACAAGAGACACCCAGCACTTCTACCATGTCCGGTGCTGACACTCACCACTGTGACACGTGTCTCTTTTCTGCACTGGAAAGAAGTAGTAACCTGAACTTCTGTCTCTTGTAACCCTGGAGAATGTCTCAATCCAGAGACATAGATTGAAGGGCTGGACCTGCCTGGCTTCAGCTTTGACCTTAAGTTCCCTGGATGCAGCTCCTACAAAAATTTTGATTTTGACAGTCAACATTTTCCAGTGAAATGGTTTTCTGTTGGAAGACTCCTGACCACCAGTGGGTTTAACCTTGCCGCTCTCAAGCAGGCAGACATTTACAGGCTCCAAGTACCTCTGAAGACCAACCAACTTTATGGAGCTGCTGGAATGACTGGCATTCATGTTTTAAATCTTTCATGTAAGCAGACTATTTGAGCCGGAGGACAAGTAAGCACCAGTCCAGGAATCCAAGAATCTCTGCTTTGTTCCCAAATTATGAGGACATGTTGCTCTTTCTAAACAACCAAAGTCTTGTGCCTTTCACAAGCTTCTCAGACCTGACAGCTGGGTCACTGGGATACAATTTTCTGCTTTTATGCTACTCATGCGGTTCTGAATCAATAAAACTGGTAACTGTTTCGATTTCACAGTGTTCTCAATAATGGAAACTACCTGTGAGAGTAACTACTTGCAGGATTCAGTCCTTTAAAGCTGTAACAAAATCCTTTTCATTTTTAAAAGTACCTTCTTTCACTTCCTGCTTCTGGTCTTGATTTTCAGTCTCCAAGTCATCTTGTGCTTTTGGCTCCACCATTTCTTCATCATCTTCATCCTCTAGAAAATGGAAGAAAAAGATTTGTGACATTCATCTCTTTAAGGTGGAGGGAAATAGTGTATCTTTTTTGTGATTATAAACTGGTGGTAAACACAGGTAAATAAAAGTGCACAATAAATGGAAAGGTCTGCATTTATACTTGAAGTGACATTTTCCCCCAGACTGCAAGATAATCTGCTAACACAGGGCACTTGCCACTTGTAGTCCCTGTGGCAACTTCCCATGTCAGATGTCCACTGAGTATCTCTCTGACCTCGGAGATGACTTCTTGGATGGCATAAGAACAGATGCAAACATGTTTCAGCCTGGCAGCTATTCCATGGTTGGGACACCTGCTATCCAGATACCTCATTTCCAATTCAATTCTCACCAGATTAATTTGTCTTTTGACCTACAGGAAGGGGTTAAATAGAAATCTGACCTCAGGTCAGATGCCACTAGCAAGCAAACAAGCATGGTACAGTTCTGAAAAGTCATCACCATCAACTAGGGGAGCACAGCAACTGAAAGTGGCATTTGGAGCTTAAGAACCATTCTTGCATTAATACAAATTTAATGAACACTAAAATTTGACACATGTCAGTTACTACTGCCAGATGTTTTAATGACCTTTTCTGACCTATGCAAATGCCTCTCTCCCTTCCCCTCTCTCCCCACACTCACATGTTCTCATTTTATTCAGGAGGGTAAACCATTCATTCCCTGATGTCTGTCTGAAGTTACAAGGGTTGTGATTGTCCAGACCAAAACATAATACAAGCAGAGCTGAAAAGACAGCGATGCACAAAAATGGCTCAAAGCCTACCTAACCCTCATTACTTGTTCCCAGCTACAGCAACGTGATTCAGTCTCCAGCGCCCAGGGATGACACCCAACCCGTTCACACTCATGAGAGGGTAGGGACGCTCAGCCTTCTTGATTCAGTGAACTACCAAGTCTGAAAATAGACCTAGTGCTACAAGAGTGAGTTACAGTAATTAACAGTTAGGATGAGCAAATCTGTGGGCTATGGAAGAGTTATTCTTGAGAGATTCCGGAGCCATCAAGGCATAGCGAGCACCACTGGTGCCCTGGGTTGGTCCATCGCGTGAGAGAACGCCTGTTGTCCCAGCCCCGGGGTATCCAGCCATCAGCAAAACTACTGCAGCTCCTTTGGGGCTTTCTGAGCAATCTGTCTGTCACCATGCGGTGCCTTGTGACGTGGTGCTTCTCCAGGCACACTCACCGCTCTAACACCGCTGCATCAACAGAGCCTGCAAGTGGGCAGGGGGCAACACGCCACGTTCCTCCAACTGCTTGGCTACCAGCACCTTCTCCTGTGAAGGCTGGCTGCCATCAGTCCCAGCGTCTTGGGGAGACGTTGGTGCTGACAGGTTGCATTCAGCCAACAGTAATACGCAGCTGTGTTTTGTTTGCAGTAGCATAATAGGCACCACACTATTCCCACCACGTTGTCTACCCTAAGACTTCTGCCCCCAGAAGCCCCTAGAGCGCGTGTTGCTAGCTGACATCTTGACTAGAGACTAGAAAGCATGGCTTAGCCACAGACTGTAAGGAAGTGTCTCAGCATGGACACATATACTTTTCCTTCTTGGGAAAAAGCAGAAATCTTGGCATAAGGTCTGCCATCACTCCTTCTACTTCTGTTGACTGCAGCAAGGAGAAGAGGGAAAGCTCGGCTCCCCACAGTCGTCAGGGAGGAGGGATAACCATGTGCTTCCCAAGCTGGGAAGGGAGGAGGAATCCAGCATGGATAGGGAGGCATTTCCAGAATTAAAAGCACCACTATCTAGTGCCATCCCTTTATCAGGGACTTTTCAGACCGTGAGAGGAAACAGCCTCTCGGAGGAGGGTAAAGGTGTTCACAATGCCTCCCTTTGAGGCCTCACTTGGCAATTATGTTTCCCTGTGTACCCATGTAGAAGAGCTACAGAGATGAGCTTTTAGGGAGCAGGCCAGGACATTTCAGTTCTGCAGGGTAAACACATTGCTCTGTCCGCTGGCCGAAAGGCAGATAACATCCAAAGCAGTCAGCAGAGAGTCAGTAAGAAAAGCTCACCCGCTGTACACACACAGGAGGGGTAAAAAAAGGTCTTTCTGCCATCAGTCTGCGACGCTAGCGGAGATGGGGATATATGAAAGAGAGAGGCACTCCCAGTTTCAAAGAAGAGATGAGAAGTATGAGAAGTGAGAGGAGTGGCTGGCGCAGCAGGGAGTGAATACTCGGCTAACCTCAGGTACGTATGCACACACAGATAGGATCGCAGTGCTGCACAGATACATGCACACAGACACACTTATGGTGGATACCTAATGAAGCCAACTCCCACAAGAGTTTTGTGAGTCTTGCATTACAAGTTTTCCTTCCCTAGAGCACCAGCTCTTGGAATCAGCTGTTTACATATGGATTTCAGCTTCTATTTTTAACCTGTTTCCAACCTGTCTGCTTGTGCTGGGAAGTTTCAGAAGGGGAACGATTTGAGAAAACTTGCAGGAAGCAAACCAAAAATAAACCAATATTTAATTGAAAATCTTGGGGTTTTCAGGCAGCATATTACATTTTTTATTGCCTCACTTGTAATTTGGTAATGGATAGGGACAATGTAGCAAATGTAGAACTTGTGATTTAGTAGCAGGTTTTCAGACTGAAGTGAAGCAAATTTATTCCTGTCCCCTAGAAGTCCTTGACCCCCTGATTTTGGGCGTCAAATTGTTTGCCTACCTATAGCCTGTTCTGCTTCTAAAGCAGTGAAGCAATGAATGGCTGAGGCACAGCAGGGGCAGGGGAGGGTGTACTGATACTTCAGCACCTATTAGGGCAGATCTTCTTTACTTTCCTTCCTTCCTCTTCTGGGAACAATCAAAACCAAGTTTCCCTAGGTTTCCCTCGATTCAACTGCAGCAGGAAAAATAAGTAAAGGTTATTACAACACATGCCTTTTTCCAAGGGCACACACATCAATAAATTAGTTTTATTTGGAAGGCAGTGCAAGAGTTTTTAGCAGGTTAGACACAGTTCAGATGTCCTTATTTATTTACAGAGAAATGTATATGCATACAAAGAGAAACTCAGCTAAAAGAACGATATGCTTGTGAGCCAAATGCTAAAATGTGAGCAAATGCCAGAATTTGGATTGCCTGGGCACGATTAGCTCCTTCCCCCTCCCCACATGTAGGCATGATGACATCATTCTGGAATTTCCTCCCTCTTGACTGCTTGGCCTCATTTTCTGGGTGCTCAATAAGAGACACCTGGGGCCTGAAATACAGAAGTGCTGAGAGCTGAAGTCAGCTGGGTCTGTGCTTTGAGTGGAGAAAGTGCTAGGGAAATGCTATGCATGCGAAAGCCCCCACATCTCTCTCTCAGCTTTCGTGGAAAGTTGTCATCCCAACATTTTTGCCCTTTGTCTCCCTGTACTTCAGTGCTTTTGCATGATGGCAATAACATGGTGAAGATAACAGTATTCTCACCCTGCACAGATGTGTTGCAGAGATACGTTCGTCGGGATTTGGGGCATATTAAGATGCTTTCATGGGACCACCGGAGAAACAAAAGCTTGGAAGGAAATTAATGTGTTCTGTGTTCAGTGTTAATGCTTGGACCATGTGCATTAACGTGAGCACCGAACAGAACAAGGTAAAACCCATAAGGGTTAAAAAACTGACTCCTCATTCACTGGCTGAAACAAGAATCTGTTAAGGAAAAAAACCCTACACGTTACTATGTAATTAAAACTGTATCATCATACATATTCAAAAGGGCTAATTAAGGATGCCCAGGAAACCTGCATTCTGGAATATCTAAAGTTGCTTGGCTTTGCAACCTGAATGTTTATTTGCCTTTTTTTATATTGTGCACTTTTTAATGCCAATGCATACATACTTACGCATGTTCATAGTACATAAACTTACTATTGTGCCTAGGTATGGTTATGCATTTTTACATTTGACTGTGGACATATACATACATTACAGAATAATGAGGAATGCTTTGGCATTCATTTTCCTGTGTTTTACTTAAATGTGAAAAAGATAACATTTATTGTACATTTATTGGAGAATCTGTGAGCATCTAAATGGTTATTTGTTTCCACATGTGCCTACTCAGGTTGAATGTGTCATCACAGTAATTGTCCAGTAAGATGCAGACACTTCTATAGTTCCTGAACACAGATAGCCTTTCCCTATTTAAGAGCATATCTGACATTGGGAAATTTAGAGAAATAACTTTTTAATTGCTTACATCATAGTAGTAGGAGTTTTCCAGTCACATTTGGCAAACACAGAGTTGCTACTAGCACCAGTAGTGCTACACCCTATTTAGAAGATCTAAATCAGAACCCAAAGGTCTATTACAGGAACCACATGTAAAAGAGCTAGTAATGAAGTGTATAGCTGCTGTGTAACACTTCTCCTTTGTAGATCTCAAAGGATTTTGCAAGGAGGCCAGTTATGCCCATTTACCACGCAGAAGCTGAGGGATAGACCCACTCACTGCAGATCACTCAGTAGATGAGTGAAGAATAGAGGCTTGGCTTCAGAGTTTCAACCTAGAGTCTCGCCCACTAAGGCCACCCTGCCTTTTACTGCAAATAAACAATTCCTCAATGGAATTGTTCATTAAATGCATACATTAAAGATGTTTGTCTGCTGAAGCTGGTGGAGCCATATGTGGAACTAATATAGACTGACATAGCCGGACCAAATATCATTTCTTAACTCAGAGTTTGATGACGCTCCAGGCAATAAGAGGTGGCCAATCAGTCCTAACAGCACTTTGTTTAACATGATGAAGTAAAAGCAGAGCAACTATTCTCAGCTTGTACTTAGCTTCAAACACTCCTGCTTCTGTTGCAGACCAGAAGTGGTCTTGTCTGTCTAAAAGCTTGCATGTTTTTCCCAGCTATAGAAGTTCCTCTAATAAAAAAGTATGACCTCTCCCTACAAACCTGGCTTTGTTTAATCTGTGTGCCAACTACTAATCTTCAAATGTTGCCCA